AATCCCACAAAACCCTAAAATGTTCCCTTCGAATGCTCCGCGGTATATAACCCGTCCATCATTAACATTGGGATAAGATTTCTTGCACATAACTACCACGAGATGTGCTACTACATTTTTGCCCTTTAAAGGGTAAATACTAGAAAGGAATGTGTAACTGTTCTGTCGTATTCTATGGAGACGCTACGAGGATGTTAGCAGACGTGGCTTGCAGTACTGCCTATAGTATAGTCTATGGGCGACATACCGATGTGTTTGTAGCCTACATTGACCCTGGAAGCATCAGTACTTAATAAATATCTATACTTATTTACTGTTTCTAATCTATATTGTGGTTACTTGTCATGAGACTTAGTACATTCATCAATTGTCCTATCATTGACAAAAATACATTAAAGCGCATAATTTCAGAATGGCTGTAACCAATTTGATCATTCTTTTTGTGTTGTGTTTTGTTTTAGGAACAAGGTTAGCGTGAAAGAAAATATTTGCGAACTTGTACGGCAAAATAGTCTGAGTTAAAAAAATCTTTAATAAAAAAAGCGCTGAGTGAGTGAGAAGATAGAAAGACTTAAAAATTACTGATAAAATTGAGAGTTTGACGTTCATTTGTTAAGTTTTTAGGGTTCCGTACCTCAAAAGGTAAAAAAGGAACCCTTATAAGATCACTTTCTTGTCCGTCTGACCGTGTGTTACCACCGATTTTTTCAGGAACCGGTAGACCGAGCAAATTGAAATTTATACCAGATGCTGAGGTCTATGGTCCCTATTAGGTGTATAAAAATCAAGATCCTGAGTCAACACGATAAAAAGATATTGGCAAATTTCGATTTTCGCTAAAACTTGTAAGTACCAAAATGTACCTTAATTTTCAACTTTTTTTATTTTTCAGAATTTTCTCTTTACTTGTGCTGTAAGACCTTGTTTTCAACCAAAATTGACAATTCTAGGTCAACCGGAAGTATCTATAGGTTTTGGGTCGAAAACCTATTTGGTAGTTCCCGTTGACTTAGAATCACGAAATTTGGCAAAGAGAAACGTCTTACAGCACAAATAAAGGAATAATTCCAAAAAATAAAAAAAGTTGAAACTTAAGATAAATTTTGGTATTTTCTCGAAAATCTATGTAAAATCTGCGTAGGTACGGAACCCTCGGCGCACGAGTACGACTCGTACCAGACCGGTTTTTTACATTGTTTTAAGTATCACATAAGAAAAAAATGTTGTATTTGTTGTTTTGTAACACTGTTAAAAACTATTTACATCTTTATTGTTTAAAATAATAATTTCTCACTAGACTTTCCTTTTTGTAACACAACAATGTACTTGTTACACAAATTACACGAATGCCTTGGAAATAGGATTTCTAAAGTCGTCCCACATATCCCAAATTAACCTCATGTTATGTACCTTGTAAAGTTACAGCCGAAAAATCAGCTGTCTGTCATATATAACCTATTCAAAAAACAACATAAACACATGTTATGATCATGGAGCGAACCATCGTAAACGTCACCCATGCATGAACACATAACACTTCCGACGCAAACAATACTCGTATAGGTAAAAAAAAACACGTGACAAGCCAATTTAGACCATATGACGCTTAAAATTGGTACTTAGTGACCAGGGCTGCCAGCAACTACTTAAGCAAGTACTTCTGAGTCTCAGAAATGATACAAAATCAAGCATTCTTGCGAGTTTAACATGCTTACAATATTAGTAATCCTGGTAAGCTTTTAAGGACTCATTTTGACTTCAACGTTAAAGGATTTTGACTTTTTGATTTATGACTGCACAAATGGCGTAGTGGTTTAAGTGGTCGCCACGCCGCTTCCTTCTACACCGAGTGATGTGGGTTCAAACCCCACATGGGACGACACTTTGTGTGATTCACAAATTGTTGTTGTGAGTCTGGGTGTTCTTTGTCTCCGTTTCATGTATGTTTGTAAAGTCTCTCGCGACACAGGAGTATGTTCCTAATACGGGCATTGTGTTTAAAAAAAAAAACACATTCAAGAGTTCAAAATCAGGTTCAAATTAAGGTTATCAGAGGGTCTGAAAGTGCTTCAACGCACTTGTGACTCTGAGTTTTAGGTGATTAAAAAACCCCATCTCTCTGTAACCTTTTCAAAATAAATATTATGATGATCATTTCGATATAATTATTATGAGAACATCTATTATTGAATTATTAAATAAGTAGTTTGATTATAATTCTTGAAGTTATTAATACAGACGAAGCTGTGAAGCTCGTATGAAGCTACGTTGAAAAGACAGAAAAAAGCCAATCGCGTGGCAAAAAATTGAGCAACAGAAATGAAACTGTGTTGTTTTTTCCTGTTTTAAATATACACATCAACTCATTTGTATGTAGATCTAGTGCCCAATTATACAATCTGGCAACCCTGACAGTGACCTGAACAATTATTTCATGTAACGATTTCAATACTGTCCCAGATCGTCCTTCATGGATATTTGTTATTGACTTGATAGTTTGAATGTCAACAATTTGTATGGGAAGCAGTTAATACTGTGTATCTCCATGTTGTACGGCCTTGGTCTGACTTAGGCCAATTGGATGCATCCTTAGGGTGTTTGTAGAACAGTTAAATGAGAGTGATAACTTGATAGGCGCCCAAGGCGTGATACATTTGTAAACAGAGTTTGAAATGATCAGGGTATTGTTTTACGTTTTGTCCCGTAGTGTTATCATAACTTCAGTTAAATATACGTACTGCTTAATAGAAGCGCCCTTAGCTGTTGTCAATATAATCAATATTGATTAAAAATTGTAGCTGTTTGGACTTCCTTTACATAATCGTAACTTTTAGTACTCCTAAGCGCACATTCGAAAGTGCAATAAAGTTGATAAAAAAACTGGTACAAAGAAATCTTATTAGTTTTTTAGTTTATTTACGTTGTATGTGTATCCGAGTGTATCTGAGAACGGGTAGTATAAACTAATTAAGACTAGATTGCAATGAATAATAAGTCTCAACATATTTTTAACATGATTATAATGTCCGTAATATTTGGCTCTATTAATAAAAGCATCTCATACTCAAGTTGGGAATCGAAATAAATTCAATTCTGTTTTATACAGAACTAAGTTCAAATTGGTTTTACTGACAATAATCAAGTACATAGCTCAAAGAAGCTAAAGCCCCGTTCATGGACATTTCCGATGTAGGCTAGCGAGTGCAGCACAACAGTCGGTGGACTCGTTGCAAATCGAAAGTCGATTAAGGAAAGCAGGTGACTACATTCGTGACAGACGGATTCAAAGGTTATTGGCAGATACCAGTACACGCACATACGTGATAACCAAGATTATGCTGGCTTTGAGGTCTCTGTACCGTATTTATGTAATAGGGGAGACTGTAGTCTGCAAAGGTTTTGTTGGCAGAGCAATACGTTGGTAATCTTTGAAAGAAAAACTAAGCAATTGACTGTCATAAACATTTGCGCTTTGAACGTATAGAGTTAACTTTTCAAATCAGATTTTGTTTTCTCTCATACATTGAGTGTATGTAATATCATGTAGGAATAAATATTTGGTGTAGCACATTTGTATAATTAAGGGACGCTTCAGATTTTTGAATCAATGGAATGAGCACTTGAAAAAAGTGTTCTAAATGTAGTGTACTCTAGTGACGGATTAAGAATACGGAATGTCACTACGCCAATCCATCCCGTGGGTGTCGTAAGAGGCGGCTAAGGGCGCAAAACAACGTAGGACACCAGCACTGCAAATAGAAGGAAAACTTGACAAAAACCTTATACCAACCCGTCTGGCCAGCGTGTGGCAAAACCTCCTTTCTAAGGAGAGGCCTATGTGCGGCAATGGACTATTTAAAGTTCTTGATGATGATGATGAATGACATTTTTAAAGATCTGTCCCGTCATAATGTTTAAATTTAGTTGTAACTTTCTTAACAAATTAGAGCCAGAGAACAATTAGAACGTAATAATTATTAGATCTAAGATAAAACATCGCAACAAAATTATTACGAAACGAATACATTTAGTTTTAAGAACATCACCGTCTTTCATTGAATTGTAAACAAGTTAATTGTATTTAATTCTCAGGGAAGTAGACAAATGTGGACAAAAAACTTTTGATGCACAAAAGACTAGCAGACCTGCTAAGCAAAATTAATTCTCGCCAAACGAGAGGGGTTAAGAAAGGCGTTCTTTAAAAATCCTGGTATTAAATAAGTCAATAAGGTCGAAATTACAAGTGCAATGTTGTCGAGCTATAAGAAGTGATCGGTATCGGTGTAGAGACAAAAGCTCACACGAGTTCAACCACACCTGATTGTTATCGAGAGAATCGCTACGCAATTAAGACATATGTCTTCCCAGAGACACATCATAAGAAATACAGTGCGTATCCGCTAAGCAAGGAAATGTTATAATAATGTAATAAACACATAAAATGTCGGAAATAACACGCTCTTAACGCGCAAGATATGTTTCTTCCCGTGTGAGAGAGGTGTCGTTTCAATGTAACAGATAAAAAGTAATTATAATGTTCAAAAATCGTTATATTAAAATGTTTTTGGTCAAAATATTTGTTAGTAGTAGAAATCAATTCATTTCATATCAATTTGATTTAAACATCATATTTAATATTTTAAAGTGCCCAAGCAATTTTGTAATTTACATTACTGATCTAATTAGCTTTTGTACTTTTTTTATCTGAATCTTGAAGAGAATTTGTAAACATTGTTTGGTGATTTCGCATTCAAGCTTCATGTAATTTACATAAGAGTAAATTTGATTACCAGAAACTAAATGACACAGATTTTGCAGGTTATGTACGTAAAAGTGTGAAAACTCGAACATTAACAAAATTGCCTGGCCTAGTTCTTACACAATTAACAATTACCTCTGCTCTCAGGTCACAGCAACCGTTAAATTATGAATATTGCGATTATAAAACAAAGCAAATGAAATCCAGGTCATAATCATTTTGAGCTATCAAAAAATCTTACCGCTTCCTCCAGTCTTGAACGAAACTCCAGTCGCATTGTTCGTCTTCGTCCAGCACAGTTGCTTCATGATGATCCATTCCACTCCCTCCATGCACTAAATCCACCAACTGAAGAGCGCGCTCGAAATTCCCCTCAAACTCCACCACTAGGAAGCCATCGGAGCTCACAGTCTCAAATACTTCTTTTTTATATGTTGCATCATTAATCGTTACGATATCGGAAGCATTTTTAATGTCATCAGCCTTGATCTCGGAGTATATAGCTTCTGGAACCTGAATCTCAGAAACCATGTGCGTACCTCCCCCTTTGTCTACTTCCTTACTTAACCCTAAGTTCCCAGTTTCATCCAAGAGCCGATTGGCATATATTACTTCTTCTTTAGAATCCTCTTTTTGTTTACATTCTTCTTTTCTCTGTTCATTATGTTTACGAATAATGGAATCACCAAAATAAATTACAACCTTGTTATTGTTTTGCGTGATTTTGTTCGCTAGACCACCTTCATTTAACGGTAAATTTAATTTTTTGGTCTTCTCCTGAGAAAGTCTTTGTGTTAATTCTTCGTAACAAGGAAGACGGTTATTGTATAGCTTCTTATCTGCAGCACTTCTGCTAAGTTCTTCTTTCCTCTTTTCCACGCTCTGGTATACAGGAGGCCGACAACATTCATCAAACTGTGATGGCTGTGAGTTCCTTGGGGATTGTTTAGGTTCACTGTATATATGTTCCACTGGCGACGACACCTGCGGCAAAGGAATGTACTTTTCATGAACATTCTTGGAAACAGCAGCTTCATTCTTTCTAAAGTTCAAAACACTACGGCGTACTTTTGACTCTGATATATCACTGTTGTTAATTTTTTTGGACCGAGCGTTGCCAAGTATTTTAAAGATCGCCTTATGTTCAGTGTGTGGTTTCACTCGATCCGTACTCGGAGCTCGACGCATCCCGTAAGATCCCACCTCCTCCTCTGAAGGATGTGGGTACAGCTGCTCACAGCTAGTGGATTTATGCGTCGTGGTTCTTGTTTTGGCAGATGTCAGAGGCTCCCTGCTCTGCCAATGCCTGACAGATAGCCTTGCAGCTCCTCGTATAAATTTCATAGGCTCCCAGGCCTCGGCTTTCTTTAGTATGAAGTTATCGCACATGTTATGTTTCGCGGTTGGTTTTCTGCCGTCAGCGGCGCGGCAAGATTGCAGTTCACGACATAGGAAGCACGAACACCGCGCGGGGCACAGCATGTCTGCGCGAAGGTGTCGGCCGCACTGAGCGCGCGAGCCTCCGTGGCTGTCGCGAGCCGTTAACCCTTCAAAAGCATTGTTACTGTCGCCCCGCTACAAAATCTTGCGCGGTTCTAATTGCCGATACACGTGTTATACATGGATTAATGTTACCGTTTTGATGAAAGCTCGAAACGAGATCAAGCGAAGGAATTTTTAATTGCTCTCGCGTTGATTGTTCGGAAAAGATCTGTTAATACATTCAATTACCTGATATTTTTAGATGCTTTAATGGGTTTCAATCAACGTACGATCCAATGCATGCTGTGTATGTCTGCCAGTGTTGCATTTAAGCGGATACGCTTGCATATACTCATAGTAAGGTGAATGAAACCATAAGTTGTGTAAACTAAATATAGAGCATACTTGAAACAGACGGGTTATTGAATCATTTACTGGTGCATTGACTATAATGATATACGCCGGGGCTCTTTGACTCTTTGACTTTTTTTTCTTGCGATATTCAATGTTCGATATGATACGACGCCATTGATATTAGATTGTATCGGTAAACACAATTTTATTATAATAAACAGCTTAAGTGGAGGTTTTTTCTAACAAAGCGTTTGCAATCCACAAATAAAGAGCGCAAAATTGATTTTGTTTTGAAAACAAAAAAGGATTAAGTTATTAACAGACTTAAGTGACGTTAGAAGTAAATTTATTTATGGATTTACTGTAACGGATTTGCCATCGTCAGCTTGCAAGTTCAGATTCCATCAAGTGCAATAACCGGTACGATTCACAATAAATTGCTACTCGAATTGGAGTTGTACGACAGATAAAGCATCTTCACTACAGTACAGTAATAGTTGGTTTGTACGTGAGTTCGTTCGGTTATTTGTCTATAATCAACGCTAGAGAACTTCTTATAAGAATTAATACATAAGCAACTATTAGATACCTGTTTCTTCAAAGGAAATAGAAATGAAAGCAGACATTTATTACACCACGGTGAAGTAACAGCACTTTGTAAACAAAATAGCCAATGTGTTAGTTTCTTATTTACTCGTAAATATTAAAATAATTAATATGTAATGAAGAAACATTATCACGTTCTCAATTACAAAAATCGCAAAGTTTCACATCACTATTCTTTATCGTCATCATCATCATCATCAACAGCCTTTAATAGTCCACTGCTGGACATAAGCCTCTCTTTAGAAAGGAGGTTTTGGCCTACTATACCACGCTGGCCAGACGGGTTGGTAAAGGGTTTGTGTCAAGTTTTCCTTCTCTCTGCAGTGCTGTTGTCCTGCGTAGTTTTTTCCCTTAGTCGGCTCTTACGACACCCACGGGATGAATAGGGGTGGTGACACTCTGTATTCTTAATCCGTCACCACACGGACTTTATCGTAAATAATAATTATTATAATAATTGTGAGATTTGACGTCACAATTCGTTATGTCAGAAGGTTACAGCACTTACCGTTTTTATGTCTCATAAAAAGAATATAATGTGTCTTGACATATAATTTCTAATTATTCGCTGTCAGCCTCATCGGATTTCAGTATCAGCATAGCATAAAGCTACTACTAGCTGACAAAGTTTTCGCAATACCGTTATTTGCCTAACTCTAATTTTAAACGGACTTCAAAAATACAAAAGGGGAGGTTATCAATTCGTCTGTTTTTTTTTGTATGTTTCTTACGCGACATCTTCGTCATTTGTGGACCGATTTTCAAAATTATTTTTGAAATCGTAAGGGTATGCTCCCGATGTGGTCCCATTATCACCAAATCACGATCTGCTGAAGGGATCCTAGTGAAATCGAGGGAAACCCTCAAATTTTACACCTCCGACAACCTGTTTTAGCTTATATTTCTAGCTTTATAGGTATTTGCGTTTAGTAGTCTTTATGACATGTTGCTGAGCTGATGGTGTAAGGATCCTTGACCTTTAGGACTTAGAAAATAACTATTTCAGAAATCTAATCATGTATTGACCTTGTTTTAATCTTTAAAGATATTTGTTAGGTGTTTGTGTGGGGTTACAGAGATATGTGCACAAGAGAGTAATAAATGAGATTACAAAACATTTAGACAAAAAAAGTGTTTGTTACGCAATTATTTTTAATTATTAGTGCTCTTTGGCAAAGTATTGTTTGAAGTCGGTTCAACTTTTTTTTTAAAGATTTATTGTGTGTGTGTTAAACAGTTTAATATCTCAATATTTCAATCATTTTATACCCATCTTTCCTAGTAAATTAACTTTTTTGTTGAACTAAAATTGTATCCTTTTAGCGTTTGCGAACTTTGCGATTGATATTTCAATAGACCCACAATATTATGTTTCTATATTATTATATTTAAACGTTTGCCCTTTAATTATCAACGCAGTAATAATAATAATATAATAATATTACGGACATCTGACACACAACGCCATCTAGTTTCAAACTAAGCAGAGCTTGTACTATGAAAGGTAAATTGACTGATGGAATAATATAGACAACATCCAAATTCCGAAAAAAAAATTTTGCTGACCATATAAACTTTTGATCCGACCCGAGAATTGAAGCCGAGACCTCAGCATAGCAGTCGCATACGCTACCATTGCACCATAGAGGCAGTGTATTCACAGAAAAGCGGTTTTAAGCAATTCTTAATAAACCGGCAATATTTTTTTACTAGCTGGTACCTTCGACTTCGTTCGCGAGGAATTTGTAAAGCCTCAGTGGTATAGTACGGGTCGGTACGACTGCAGTCCATGAAGCCTCGGGTTCGATTCCCGGACAAGGATTTTTTATAGAGCTTTTCTGAGAGGAAAATCTCCTAAGTTACTCCTTATATAGACAGCTACCTAGTAGTAAAATATTATCAAAATGGGTCCAGCTGTTTTAAAAATTGTCAAACAGACAGATAGACAGACAAAAATAATTAAACTGGTTTTTAGGCATAGATATAGGTATAGAGCATGACACAACCTAATATTTTGATATTACAAACAGAAACTTAAATTTTATTTATTTGTATAGATAATTTTTATATATCCAGTGTCAATCTCACAATTATGACGAATCCAACGACACCTTAATCAGCAAAATCCGTTAAACATTCTGGCGCAGTCGGATAATAATCACAAAATATATGCAGACATTTAATATGCCTCTGTTTATCCCTATGGAAAGTATTGCTCCTTTTAAATCATAATCATTATGATTAAATGGTTAGTTTTGGTCACTGCAATTTCACCTGTGATAAATCACTACTATAATTTGGTCATACACAAAGATATCATAAAAACTTAAGCAAATTTTTTTTTTATTTGTATTTATTTTTTATTGTTATAGGTACAACAAATTTATAGCCGGTCAATGACCTTACTTATGTTAATGTCGTAAATATTAAAACCGCGAAAGTATGGATGATATGGCTGTTTGTTACTCAATCAATCACGCCAGAACGGCTGAACAGATCTGTATGGAATTTTGCGTAGAGACAGAGGTATGTTGTTCATCATCATCATCAACAGCCTATGATAGTCCACTGCTGGACATAGGCCTCTCCTCTGAAAGGAGGTTTTGGCCTACTATACCACGCTGGCCAGACGGGTTGGTATAGGGTTTGTATCAAGTTTTCCTTCTCTTTGCAGTGCTGTTGTTTTGCGTAGTGTTTTCCCTTAGTCGACTTTTCCGACACCCTCGGAATGAATAGGGGTGGCGACATTACGTATTCTTAATCCGTCACCACACGGATAGTATTCTTGCGGTTGTTCACTTTGTTCTAAAGACAATTTATTTAACAAAGTCGCAAATACAAGCAAGACTACGGGTAGAAGTTAGTGTGCTATATTTTGACCAGTCAAAGTACGGAAGTCTAGCTGTGCAGCAGTGGACTACTAAGTGCTGTTGATGGTAGGTCAAACAGCGCTGCCTATTTTGTCCCATGATTATTTGTTAATTACGTCATTACTAATTTATACGTCTACTGTGGTGTGAGTGTATATCTATCTATATATAAGATACCTACGTGACCCGTGCGCATTCCACATTTGTTCACTATACCCTCAAGTAACAATACTGTCTCTGATAATAGCCCACTTAAGAGGATGTGTAGGCAGTATAACGATATTTTTTCAGGATTGGATATCTTTAATGATAAATTAATTAACTTTAAAAAGCCATATATGATAAATTAGCTTAGCGTTTAGTCACCTTTTTATCATTGTATTCACTTCTTCTAATCTCCATTTGTTTTATGTACGAGTATTTGTCTTCATCTCTAGGAAGCTGTTAACTTTTAATTGATGTGTACAGATATAATAGGATATCAGGTTTATAACATGTATGTTAAAATGCTATTATTTGTGTTACATAATCTGTTGTCTGTTTTATAAAAATAAAAAATAAAATAAAATCAATGCTAGTGTGCGTACAAATCGAGTGTTTATAGGCACAGCGATAACACGGCCGACACACAGCGACAGCAGAAAGGACGTTAGTGGCTAACAGTTGGATACTATTTCTTTCTACTCTGTCACAGCTTCGACAGTCCATCTAGACTAGACATATCAATGCTCTAAGTTTATTACATAACGCTTTTACTGTGGGTAAATAAATAAATTTTGAATAAGAGAACGTCAGATTACTTAATTTACTTAATAATAAAAATTATGAAAACGGGTGAAAAGAAAACAAGTAACAGTTACTTTCATTGCATAAAGTCCAAGTATTGTTCGGAGCCATAATATCGTGCGATTAGCGCGCTTCCCATCCCAGGCGGAGAAAGTCCTTCACTTTATATAAACTTTATTTTTCATTGTTCTTAACTAAATATTCTCATGGAAAATCTTTGTTTGCTATGGATGAGCAATAGACAATACATTGTGGTAAAAAAGTTGTGTTTTTAGCACTGATTTTGTTAAGGTTTTAGGGTTCCATGGTATATTAGTTCTATTATTATTGGTGGCTGTTTTTTTATGGAAGAGGTGGCAAACAAGCAGACAAGTCACCTGATGG